TGCTGATCTGATTTATAGGACCCAAACTTCAAAAAGATGTCTTCTTTTCTGAACCTACAGTGCTGCAAAAACATTGAATAACTATTATGCTTTATAGGGTTGACTATAATCAAAGCAGACTGCAAAACAAGCTCAGGTGTCTCATTATAGACCCATGTTCAATTCTGTAAACGCTCAGGGAAACCTCCACACAGCTTGAGTCAGGCAATTAAAATCTTCAAAGAACTCCTGAGGTCCTTTATTCATGCTGAGGAACCATCCCTGGATGACAAGTTTTTGAAACGCTTAGAGAATGAAAGGTTGGTTATGAATTTTAAGAATGGACAAATGAACAACTTAAGCCCTTTTTTGATCAGATTCTACTTTTATTTCCTAAAGGGAAGAAGAAAACAAATGTTTTGATCTTCTTCAATTATTGAATCATAATGTTGTTATTGCTGTTTTTTTTCTCTTTCTCCTATATATTCTGACCAGAATCTGACCAGGTCTAGAAAATATGATCATATAACCCCAATTTTATCCTCCTTACACTGGCTGCCTGTTAAATTTCGTATTGAATTTAAAATATTACTTCTCACCTATAAAGCTCTAAATAATCTAGCTCCTGTTTATCTAACCAACCTTCTGTCTCGCTACGAACCAACTCGTTCCTTAAGATCTCAAAATTCAGGGCTTCTGGTAGTACCAAGAATATCAAAATCAAGTAAAGGAGGTCGAGCCTTCTCTTTCATGGCTCCTACACTCTGGAATAGCCTTCCTGGTAATGTCCGAGGCTCAGACCCACTCTCCCAGTTCAAAACTAGATTAAAGACCTATCTGTTTAGTAAAGCATACACTCAATGCATCACCTAGCGGGTTCCACACAGGCTTCTGCATCTTGCTTATATACACTATGAACAGCAGCTACGCTAATTATTCTCTTTATTCTCTATTTTCACCTGGGGATACTCATCCCGAGGTCCTCAGATTAGGCGGAGTCACTGATTGGATCCAAGACCAGCGACGTGATGATCCCAAGGATTCCATATCCGGGACCAGGCCATATCCTGAGCTGCTGCTGCGCTGATGGTCGTGGGGAGTGGAGAACTTGTGTCTGATTCCAGCGACGCTCCAGGGACAGACGAGTCTTCATTGAGGCCATCTTCCAGCATAAACCACGGCGAATGAAGTTCTGCACAAGACTTTTGGCCAGCGGAGAAATTAAAATGGTCGTGCCCAACTGAGTCTGGTTCTCTGAAGGTTTTTTTTCTTCACTCCCATCAGGTGAAGTTTTTTTTCCCTCTCCGCTGTCGCCACTGCCTCGCATGGTTCAGGATTGGTAGAGCTGCGCATCGATTAATTTGCTCTTCAGTGTTTGAACTCTCAGTAATGATTAAATCACACTGAACTGAGCTAAACTGAACTGAACTGAACTTAAACACTAAAACCTGAACCACACTGTTCCAGTTACTATGACCATTTATGTGAAGCTGCTTTGACACAATCTACATTGTAAAAGCGCTATACAAATAAAGCTGAATTGAATTGAATTTAATATATTTATTGTATGAAATGTATTTGTTTGATTATTTTGATTTAGTTCATATTTAAGCAGACGTTCAGGCTTTTGGCAATAAAAAAACAACAACAACATGCATGTGAAAAAAATAATTAAGATGTCACAGAATTTTCCCAGTGATGGGTTGCAGCTGGAAGGGCATCCGCTGCCTAAGACATATGCTGGATAAGATGGCGATTCATTCCGCGGTGGCGACCCCAGATTAACAAAGGGACTAAGCCGAAAAGAAAATGAATGATGGAATGTCACAGAGAGTGTCATCGAGGTGAATGGTCAAATACGTCAAGCTCATGGAACGGATGTTACTCTGTATCTATTAAAAAATGACAGCATTATTTACATGCAGATTGATTCACACATCTTTCCTTAAGAAACATCCTCTAAATGATCCCGAAATGCAAAGACTGACCCATAATTTGTAATCGATCAAACGAAACAGACTATTTCTGGACAAAATTCAAGATTGGATTGTTGATTTTTTTTTAAAAAAATGTCTGTTAAAAAAGCAAGATTCAGCATCAGAATGCAGTGCCAATGTGCGATTATTATAGCACTTTATAAAGAGAGCATATGTGTATTGTCTATCTGTCAAAAAAAATGAGCGAGGTTTAGGAGGGTTTTGTGGGAACCCACTGAGTTTAGCAACACCTTCCTCTTTTTTTTCTGTTCATGGAGCTCTCTGTCTGTTTCTGTTTCTTTCCCACTCTCACTATGAAAAGAGATCAATCTTTTTATGTTGAAACCAAACTGAGCCTGTACATGATGTGATGGTGATTACTCTTATTCACCATATTTCTTACATACGATGTTGCTTGTTTCTATAGAAATCTTTCTTCTGCTTTCCCCTCATCTCTTTGACACAATCTCTTACTGCCTGTCTGCTTCCTTTGAAGGAAACTCTGCCTGTGCTTTATTGCACAACCTGTAACATGCGTTTGTACCATGGGTTTTTGCTGTCATGATGACCGAGTAGGAAATAATGAGTGATTTTTGACTCAGCTTCTCAAATATTGCATCTATCATATGGGAATTAACAAATTATCCCCTCTCTCATAAATTCATCTAAAAATAATTATATTATTCAGTGCTAAAAATAGTTATGTAAATTAAGAATGGGATTTATAAACAGATTTAGTTTCCTTCACTGAAATTTTCTGAGTACAAAAAGAAACAAAAAACTGGTCATAGTATTAAATTTTACACACAAAAAAGTTATGTCTGTTAAACTGTTGCAAACAATTTGATTGGGTTGAATTTAAACAAATTAAATTTAGTAATGTTTAACTTAATTTGTTTGTTTAAATTCAGCCCAAATAAATTGTTAACAACCGCTTAACTTAAACATTTTAGTAAATCCAAGGAATCAGCTTTGAATTCTTTTTTTCAGTGACTTTTGACTCACGCTTATCAAATCATTAGTGAAAGTCCCATTTTACATCAAACCCTTCTTGCATAACTGGTTGGCAGCTGAAGTTGACATGGAATTTTAGGGGTGCATTCGATTAACCCCCCTGCTTATAGTGAATGATGCTATGAAGTAATACTGTTGTATTTGAGTGTCTCACCAGCTTCCGTCTTTAAATTACACACTTGAGAAATTCATGAGAATGAAAGAGAGTAATACTGACATCAACAGGCTTTTGTTATGCAGTACTTAAATGAGCACAAATGTATACACCCACATCATAAAAAAAATATATTAAAATAAACATTTCTTCATATATACAAAATCTAGTTTACATTTAGTCCAAACTGTTTAAAATGTTAATAAGTCTAAATGACTGTAATTTTCTCTGGATAAACTGCGACATTTATGAAGAATATAGTTTTAAAGTTTTATGAGTTTAAAAGCTAATGAAGAATTTGTAGAGTAAAAAGCATTGCAACGTTACCTTAGAAGCACAGCAAGGCAACATGTAATATGTAGGTATTGTATTAAGTTTACTATCATTTGCAATACTATCTTAATTATTAATATTTATCATTTATAATAGTGTTTGCTATTATGACACTTATTAACTTGTAGATATATAATATCTATAATATATCTATAGATATTGATCTTCATATAGATTCCAAGAAAAAATCATGACCATTGAAGTCAGAGTTATTAGCCCTCTTTGCATTTGTTTTTTTTTTTTCTAAATATTTTCCAAATTATGTTTAACAGAGCAAGGAAATTTTCACAGTATGTCTGATAATATTTTTTTCCTCTGGAGAAAGTCTTATTTGTTTTATTTAGGCTAGAATAAAAGCAGTTTTTACTTTTTAAAAAAACTATTTTAAGGTCAAAATTTTCAGCCCCTTTAAGATATATATTTTTCAGAACAAACCCTCGTTATTCAATAACTTGCCTAATTACCCTTACCTGCCTAGTTAATCTAATTAACCTAGTTAAGCCTTTAAATGTCACTTTAGGCTGTATAGAAGTGTCTTGAAAAACATCTAGTCAAATATTAATTAGTCAGCATGGCAAAGAGAAAATAAATCAGTTATTAAAAGTGAGTTGAGTAAAATAAGTAAAACTATTATGCTTAGAAAGGTGTTAAAAAAATCTCTTCGTTAAACAAAAATTGGAGAAAAAAAAAATAAAAAGGGGGGGTTAATAATTATGACTTCAACTGTATATTGTATGGTTCTCAGTTCACAGTGTTTTATTTTTAAGTTTTTAACAGCTAAATTCAATTTTAATTAATCAGCATTAGTTACAAAACACACTGTATAATATTTTTCATTAATAACAATAATAATAACTGTGTTTACAAGTTTGGTGTTCATTTATATGTTTACGGTTTGTAACTTTTTAAAAACATGCAGCATTAGTGCTTACCTAAAAAAAGTGCAGACTACACCTATTACAGACTATTACCCAGTTATTTCAAGCATTCTAAGTACATGGTGTTTACATGTGGGAACTGAAATTAAAGTTGTTTATTATAAATAATGTTTATTTTTTTTTATTTTATGTACAGTAACGTCAGAATTATTAGCCTCCTGAATTATTCACCCCCTGTTTAATTTCCCCCCCAGTTTTTGTTTAACGGAAGGAAGATTTTTAACACATTTCTAATCATAATAGTTTTGATAACTCATATAATAACTGATTTATTTTATCTTTGCCATGATGACAGTAAGTAATATTTACTAGATATTTTTCAAGACACTTTTATACAGCTTAAAGTGACATTTAAAGGCTTAACTAGGTTAATTAGGTTAACTAGGCAGGTTAGGGTAGTTAGGCAAGTTGTTGTATAATGAAAGTTTGTTCAGTAGACTACTGAGAAAAAATGGCTAATAGTTTTGACTATTAAAAAAATTAAAAACTGCTTGTATTCTAGCCAAAATAAAACAAAAAAGACTTTCTCCAGAAGAAAAAATATTATCAGACATACTGTGAAAATTTACTTGCTTTGTTAAACATTATGTGGGAAAATAAAAAATTAAATTATTCAAAGGGGGCCAAAAATTCTGACTTCAACTTCATACTTATGAATGTGGATAAGCTATTAGTCTTAATAGCAATTTATGTCATAAAAAATATGAAGGCTCATCTATGATATATTAATGCACACTCATCAATAATCTTAAGCATGCTCTGACTATCTCCTTTCAAGACGTCATTGTCAAAGAAGAGGAATTTCCCCTGCAGGATATATAAATGTGAACATGATGGGGCTTTGTTACTACTGGAGTCTGGTGATTGTGCTCCTCTGCTTTTTGATTGGTGTTGCTATAATGAACTTCCAGGGTAAGCCCTAGTATTTTTATTTAGCTATTTAAAATTGTGATTTTTCTACACTTCAACAATCTTTTCTTGTTTTACTATTCAGTTATTTTATTATATGTATTATGTGATCATTATTATTATTTGATGCCTATAAAGTAATCTAATTAACAATAAAATGTAACCTACAATATAAGGTTACTTACTAAAAAAATAAAGTCAATTGGAATCATGTGCTTTTATCTAAAATCAAGAAGTCCAAGCCATGAGTGTGATTTGAGATCTGCGTCACAATGTTACGCACGTCTAATCTCATCTGTCTCTCTCTCTCCTCCAGCAGCTCAGTTTTTTTTCACATTAGTGGGGATCGTTGTGTCTGCTCCTGTTCCTCAGAAACTGGACATCATGAACAAGGATACTATTGAACAAGCACACAGTTTAATCAGCAAAACTCTGGAAGATATTCCTGCAACTCATGCAGCATGGGTAAAGAGCAAGGTAAGCATGTTTATTTTAGGGCTTTAACCAATACAGACATTGATGTGCAACAGCATTTTAGAAGTGCAGGCTTAAAGTTCACCCAAAAATTTAATTTCTCACTATTTACTCACACTCATGTGGCTCCAAATCATTATGGTTTTCTTTGTTTTGCTGGACATTATATATATATATATTAAGAAAGCTGTAAACCTGTAACCATATTGACAAGTACGATGGAAGTTAGTGTTACAGCTTTCTTCAAAAGATATTCTTTTGTGTTCAACAGAAGAATGAAATAAACTCATAAAGGTTTCAAACATGTCATTTTCATTTATGTCTGAACTACCACTTTTATTTTGGAGTTTCAGTGATGATACAGCAAATATGCTTTGCCTAACTT